TCAAAAAACAGGCATTAAAAGACAATAACATTATCTAAAAACAGTACAACACAGCTTCTTCCTTTTCTTACCCTTTCTAGAACTATACTTTGTATTTTTATTTATTTAGTGGCTTTTTGGTACTACAGTCCTACCCTTAACCAACAGCTCCCAAGTTCTTTTTTCTTTTAACTACCTCTTATAATTAAGATTCTGATTTTTTTTTTAAGTATACTTTTGGAATGTAGCCCCTTAATCAATGGGGGCATTAAGTTATTAAAATCTAGCTTTTTTGTTTGTGGACGACTAAGAGAATTTTGAAAACTAATATCCCCTTGCACATTTTTAAATTTACATCTAAAATTTTTCACGATAAGTTTCAATAGTTGCAAAGGAGTAATTTCTAACATAATGTAAATACTGGTATTTTAAAATAAAGCTGTTATATCAAATGGAATACATTTATTGGATGTATCATGGATATATTTAAATGTATCAAATGGAATTTGGGCTCTTTAGCAATTTGACAGCCACCATCATCTGTTTCAAAAAACAGGAACAACTGGTTCAGAACGGTCAGAAATTTTAGATCTCTCATTTTTCTTCTTGAACTTATTTTCCTTTCTATTTTCACCGCAAATTATTTTTTTTAACTTTTAATTTGAAATATTTATAGATTCACAGGAAGGTACTAAGAAACGTACAGGGAGGTCCCATACACTCTTTACTCAGCATTCCCCAATGTTAACATCTTGCATAACTAACAACAGCACAACATCAAAACCAGGAAGTTGACATTTGTACAATCCAGAGCTTATTCATATTTTACCGGTATCTGTGCACTCATTTTGTGTCTGTGTGTACGTGTATAGCTCTATGCAATTTTACCACATGTGTAACTTCACGTAACCACCACCACAATCAAGATACTTTACTGTACCATCATCACAAGTCTCCTTTATACTACCCGTTGATAGCTACAGCTTTCCTTTCCCTGTCCCTTCCCTACCCCCTGGGCTCCACTAATCTGTTTTCCATCCATGTAATTATGTTATTTTGCAAATGTTCTATAGATGGAATCATGCAGTATGCATCCTTCTGAGATTGGCTTTTACTGATCATAAGTTCCTTGAGGTTCATCCAAATTGTTGCATGCATCAAGAAATCATTCTTTGCTGGTGCTGAATAATATTCCATGGTTTGGATGTAACATATTTTGTTTAACCATTCATCCACTGAAGGGCATCTGGGTTCTGGGTTCCCACAGTCAGTTCTGGTTTTTACAAATAAAGCGGCTAAGGACACTTGTGTACAAGTTTGTGTGAACAAAAGCTATTCGTCATCGTGGGCTGCCATAAAGAAATACCAGAGACTGAGTGGCTTAGACAGAAATTTATTTCTCACAGTCTGGAGGCTGAAGTCTGAGATCAGGGTGCCAGCATGGTCAGGTTCCAGTGAGAGCTTTCTTCCTGGCTTGCAGATGATTGCCTTCTCATTGTGTCCTCACATGGCAGAGAGAGAGCAAGCTCTCTGGTGTGTCTTCTTGTAAGAGCACTAACCCCAGCATGAGAGCACTGCCTTATGACCTCATCTAACCCTAAGGATCTCCCAAAGGCCTCATCTCCCATTATCACACCCTGGGGGTTAGGGCTTCAACATATGAATTTAGGGACACGATTCAGTCCATAGCAATAAGTTTTCATTTCTCTGGGATAAATGCCCTGGAATTTAATTGCTGGGTCATATGGTAGTTGCATGTTTAGTCTTTAGAGAAATTACCAAACTGTTTTCCAGAGTGGCTGTATTATTTATTCCCACCATCAATGTAGAGAATGATCTAGTTTCTCTACCAGCATTTGCTGTTGCCACTATTTTTTATGTTAGCCATTCCAATGATATCTCAATGTGGTTTTAATATGCATTTCCCTAATGGTTAATGAGGTTGAACATCTTTTCATGTGTTTACTTGACATATATATATCCTCTTTGGTGAAATGTCTGTGCATGTCTTTTTCCCATTTTCTAATTGGATTGTTCATTTTTTACAGTTGAATTTTGAGAGTTCTTTATATATTCTAGATACTAGGCCTTTGTTAGATATACGGCTTGCAAATATTTTCTCCCAGTCTGTAGCTTGTCTTTTCATCCTCTTAACAAGGTCTTTTGCAGAGCAAAAGATTTTAATTTTGACGAGATCAAATTTATCAATTTTCCTTTTATGTCATGCTTTTGGTGTCAAGTCTAAGAACTTTTTGCCCAGTCTTAGGCCCCAAAGATTTTCTCCTTCTTTTTTCTAGAAGTGTTATAGTTTTATGTTCACAATCTATTGAGTTAATTTCTTTTATTAAGACATAATTAACATACATTATATTAGTTTCAGGTGTACAACATAATGATTCGATATTTGTATACGTTGTGAAATGATCACAATAAGTCTAGTTAACATCTGTCGCCATTCATAGTTACAGAATTTTTTTTCTTCTGATGAGCTCTTTTGACATCTGCTGTCTTAGCAACTTTCAAACATGTAATGCAGTATTACTAACTATAGTCCCTATGCTGTACATTACATTCCCATGACTTATTTATTTTATAACTGGAAGTTCGCACCTTTTGACTCCCCTCACCCATTCTGCCCACTCCCTAGCCCCCACCTCTGGCAACCATCAATCTGTCCCATTTTGAGTTAATTTTTGTGTAAGATTTAGATCAAAGTTCTCTTTTTTTGCCAATGGATATCCAATTGCTTTAGCACCACTTATTAAAAAGGCTATCTCTCCTTTGAGAGTTTGAACTGTTTTTAGATCCTTTGTCAAAAATTAATTAGGCATATTTACGTGGCTCTATTTCTGGCTTCCCTATTATATTCCATTGATCCCTGTGTCCATCCCTCTGCCAGGACCACACTACCTTGATTAATGAAGCAATACAGTAAGCCTTAACCCCAGGAAAGGTGATTCCTTCCACAAAAATCATTTTTAATGCTAACACATTTTATGTCTGAAAGTCTTTTATTGGCCAGTCTATTATATCTTTCCTCAACAAAAATATGTCTATAAATTGAAAATAAATTTCAAAAGACTCCAAATTTTTTCTGGTTTGAGTTTCTTTACAATTATTATTGCTACCCAATCAATTAAAATATAAACACACTGTTTTTATTTTATAAGTTTTTATTTTAAAATTCTTAAACATAAGAAAGCAATTTTATTAAAGAGATGAGTGATTTAGTTCATGTTTCCATGTGGTGACTATTATTTATGTCATTAGAATGAAATAGGGCTCAGCATCAATTTTATCTCTATTTTTTGTTTTTATAACTTTAAGTGGTGAGAAATATTTTCATGTAAAAAAGAAGATGAGAGTGAAAGTCTTGTTGGAGCAATTATTTCTCAATTCTTTGAAATCTTTTGAGTTATGAGACAAAAGTAACAGTTATCTACCATCAAAAATATACTTAATGATCTATTAGTTAATTAGAAAACAATTTAATTAGGTTTTCTTTCAGTTTTGTGAGAGGCAAAAATTGGAAACTATACAACTGCAAAAGGAACTGCTATCCAGTGTTTCCCTGGGATAGTGTTACTTAGTCATTCACTGTCTTAGCACAGACATCAGTATTCTCAATAGCCTTTTGTTTGGTGCCCTGGTGGTTTTCACATCCAGAGACCTTTGTAAGATCTGAGATGGACGGGCAGTATGCCTTACTTTTGTAATAGTAGGAGGAGGGCAAGTGTGAAACAGGAGGTGGGAAAGCAGACCCTGGACCTCCATTACAGGTACATTCTCAGGCAGAACAACATTAGGGACAAGTACATGGGGAATTTAAGGATCTACAAATCGGTTCCCTGAAACTATCCATGCCCCAGACTCCTTGAAAAGTACACCCAATTTAAAGATAAAAGCAAATGTGCATCTTGCAGCCCACAGTATCAACACCAGCGCAGGGACTACTGTACGGAAGTGAGCAGTAAATGCTTTTTGGTGAGGAAAAGTGCAACAGCAAAATGACAAGCACCAAAATAGCAACACAATATATCAAAGGAAGAACTCCACTTGAAAGCTCGCAATCAGACTGAAGCAAACTAAGTTGTTGCTTAAAGCATAATAATTAAGGCTTTTAAATTCACCAAACCATTCTGCTATGCGGACTGAAAAGGCTTGTTTATCCCTTCTCTGTCCTAGGGGAATAAGTTATCTCTCATGAGCCTTTCTGTTTCACCAAACTGCTATTTAAAAGCTGATGAAATGTTTAAGCAATTCATTACATTAATATAAAAATCTTTACAGGACAGAAGAATGATTGAAACCAAAGGGTGGGCAGCACTGAGTAATGTGGAAAGACTGTGCTCTCTGAAGGTGATGCCAAATTCCCAGTTTTTGCCTGGCTGGCTTCTACCTGTTAGTCAGATCTCAGGTAACCATCCCCTCCACAGCAACGCTCTCCAACCAGCTGGCCAATGTAGATGCTCTGACACTCATTACCACATCGCCTATTTTAATTATTTGCATGGTGCACATAGCACCTGATGTTTTCGTTCCTTGGTTATTTTTAAAATTCACTTATTACCTATCTATCAGTGCCCCTCCTAAAAACAACACACAAATTCTATATAAGCAGAGATCTATGACAGTCACTGCTACAAACCCAGTGCTTACCTGATAGACAGAAGAATAATATCCTTGTTGACTATAACCTATGGAAATCAGGCATAAAATTGATGCTAATTTTAAGACTTGAATCTTTAATTGAATAGTTTTTTCTTTTTTTACTAAAATAAACTGTTGCTATCATACAAGATTTTTTGAAAAAAATTATGCCATTATATCTTTAACCCTCTGAAGTTATTTACTCTAATTCTCTTGCCTTATTTTATTGAAACAATTTATTAATTATGCAATTCTTAAACAGATGCTACAGCCACAAAGATAAACACAGTAGGCATTCAAAAGATAGTTTAAATTCACATCAAGATTTTTAGTTCAAGACGGTAGATGGAAGACACATGTTTCCTACTTACCGCTTGCAAAACCACACTCAAATAAGGGAGGCAAAAGAAGCAATAAACCTCTAATAGCAAAGGAAAAGGGAAGTAGGGGTTCACCAGTGGATGAAAGATCCAACAAATTTCTAGAATTCAAAAAGGAGATGGAATTGTGTTGACGGATGAGACAGGCAGACAAAGCCACAGCCCAGAAGACTACACAACGCAACCTAAAAGGAGCTGGAAGCCAAAGTGCTTGTCAGAATGCTAGAAGGAATCTAGAGAGCCACTCTGCCCTGGACACCTGACGGCTCTGGGCTCTAGGCCAGCAGGCTCAAGGGAGGGCAGGAGCAAAAAGTGGGGCTGAAGACAGTGGGGATAATTGAAGGTCTGTACCTGGAACTGTGCTTGTTGGCACCCCCATCTGCTTTCCCCACCCCCACAGAGATCGCAGGCAGCTTGGCATTAGCTCTTAGTCTAAAAACGCAGATAGCTGAAGGAACAAACGACCTGTGGAAAGCCAAGGTTTCTAGTGGGAGTACAGTCTGCCCAGAGCAAAGCACTCCTCTGACACAAGGGCCCCCAGAGCCTGCGCACAGGCTCACTCACCATAGAGCAAGCAGGCCAGCCAATGCATCCTGCCCCACACAGAGGCTCAGCCATCCACTCAGGTGAGAGGCCAAGAGGGAAAAGAGACCAACCTGTAAAACAGCAGAGGAAATCCACACCAGTCCCTAAGTCTTTCTTTCTAAAATATAAATTGACAACCAAGGATTACCAGGCACATAGAGAAATCCAGCAGCATGAAAAAGAAGAGCTAAGAAAAACATATAGAAAAAGGAATCCTAAGGAGACAAATATAATTAAGAGACATAAGAAAACATTAAAAAAAATTACTATAATCAAAAGATTCAAGTGGGTATTGCAGCCATATAAAATAGGAATAGGAGGGGCCAGCCCTGTGGCCAAGTGGTTAAATTCGTGCGCTCTGCTTCGGCGGCCCAGGGTTTCGCCGGTTCGGATCCTGGGTGTGGACATGGCACCCCTCATCAGGCCACAATGAGGCGGCGTCCCACATGCCACAACTAGAAGGATCCACAACTAAAATATATACAACTATGTACTGGGGGGATTTGAGGGAGAAAAAGCAGAAAAAAAGAAAAGAAAAGAAAAAAAAAAGAGAAGACTGGCAACAGTTGTTAGCTCAGGTGCCAATCTTTAAAAAACATAAATAAATAAAATAAAATAGGAATAGGAAACCACAAAAAAGGAACAAAGAACTTGGAAGAACTTTTTTAAATTACATTTAAAATTCTTAGAATTCAAAGAGTGATTAGAAAAAGAAAATCAACAGATGATCTGGAAAACAAAATTGAGAAACTCAGAATAAGCACATATGGATAAAAAGATGGAAATAATAGAGAAACTATGAGACATAAAAAGCCAAGCCAAGAGGTAGGACATTTGACTAATAAGAACAACAGAAAGAGGGAACAGAAAAAAGAGAGGGGAGGAGCTGTTAAATAAGTAATAGAATTCCCCTAAGTTCCCCAGAGCTAAAGACCCAAGTCTTAAGAACAAAAAGGCTCAGTGAGTATACAATACAACTAAGTGATAAAAGACCCACTTCTATACATTTCCTCACGGAATTCCAAAACAAGTGTAAAAAGGACATCTTGAACAGGAAAAATGGGTCCCTCACAAAGGACTGATAATCAAACTGGCTTCTTGTCAGCAACAGAGGATGTAAGAAGACAATGGAATCACATCTTCATATTTTCTAAAGAAAATTATTTTCAGCCCAGAATTCTACACCCAAGCTAACCACAAACAAGTACTAAGGTACAATAAATATAGTTTTAGACATGACTCAGAAAGTTTACTTCCCACATATCCTTTCTAAAGAACTTATTTCAGGATATACTCCAGTAAAATGATGGCAGAAGTCATGACAGTAGAAGACACAGGATCCTGAAAACAGTCATTACAACCCAGGAGAAGAGTGGAGGAAATCCTTGGAGGACATCTGCGCAGTGGCCTAGAAAAGCATTTGGTCACGAAGGGGGATTCCACAGACTAGGAAGTATAATTGAGAGTATGGAAAAAGTGAGGCCATGATAAAGGCATATTATGCCTCCCAAAAAAAGGCAATTGGAAACTCCCTGAAAATTTCTTTTTAAAAAAAGACAAATAGCACAAAAAATCTATGTTTCGAATATGAAGCAAGCTTACAAGTACCCTGATTATAAGGAATTGATGGAGTATGAGAAAAGAGGATCTAGTTGTTATTGATCTGAGAAACTTGAGAGCCCAAGGGTCATGATCCTGGCCCTGAAGAGAAGAAAAAGTAATCTTAGCACACAAATTGGCTCTGCACTAAATATTTATAGAATCAAATCTTACTGGGTGCAAAAATAGAGATGCTCTTCATCTTAGGCCAGAACTAACTTCAATATGTTTAGTCTCAAGACATAAATTTCAGGGCCCTAAGAAAAAGACTGGACAAAAGTATTCCACTGTCCTTTTATTTTCTATAAACATGGCACCAAATGATAGCCAGTTCCTACCTACAAAGCTCTGCATAAAGGTAAGAGCTGTTTTCATTATTCAAGTGGTCCAGCACTCTAGAACTAGTTTGGTCCACTGGGATTTAGCGGGGGGCAGATGACAGAAGAAATGAGCATAACCAGGTAACCATTCCAAAAAAAAGATGTACTGACTATTCAGGGGAGAACCTGAGGCCTATGATGATCCCAAATCATAACTCTGTTACATCATTACAGATCTCAAAGACTAGGCTTTAAATCATTTTTCTTTGATTTGAATATTAAAAAGCAAGCAAGCATGATTTCTAAGCAAAAAGTAACTTTTTATAGGGGATATGCAAACATCACATGTTTTCTTCCCTACTGGCAGAAATATGGTTTGGCATCTGGGAAGGGACAAACCCTTACAGTAATTTGCTTAATAACAAGAGGCATTTGTCCTGGTCTGTTAATTCTACCTGCCTTCCCGACAAGGAGAAAATAACTTCATGCTGCAGTCAACAGATCTCAGGTTCTTAAGGGAGATTTTCCTTTATGGAAGAAGTAACAAGGCATAATAATATAACACTATTTACAGTTCTCATCTTTTAGATTCAACTTATATGGAGACTTGGTTGTGGTAATAGGACAAAATATAAAAGTTATCTACTTTGACAATGTAGAAGTGTCGCTCACAGAAAGTCAAAAAATAGGTGGAAAAAAGGAACACATGTTCTATTGCCCCTTCTTAAAAAGGGAGCAGTCAATAGACTGTCAAAAGTGGATGAAATGGAAAAGAGTTGTCAAGTTACTAAATTAAGCAACAGAAGTAAAATTAATAATACAACTATCAAAGATTGGAAAAGAATGAGATGATTGTAGTGTAAGAAGGCTAAATACTCATTTTTAAAAGTGGAAAGTCAATAGATATTATCTAAAGTTGATAAATCAAGAAATAGAGGTAAAAGTCTATTATTTAGAGCACTGGCCCCAAATCTTTTTGATCATACAACCCTCTCAGGAAAATATTTCAGAGCACAAATCCCTAACATTTGTACATTTACTTATTTATATTCTATATAAACTTATGACTATACTAATCTATTATATGTATATGGTAACTTACACAAAAATACAAAATAAAGGTATACAAGAATAATTTTGAATCTATTTTTTCAGGGGGGAAGTGCTTATTATAATAATAAACCAAAAACAGAAAATCACCAGCTATTCTGACAAAAATAAATATTTTAAGATATAAAAAAGTATATGAGAATAAATAAAACTTCAAATAATTGATTCCAGTTCCTAAATTCAGCATCTTAGGCACCTTCCAGGATGTGTACAGTTCTCTTTAGACATAGAACTCTACAAGTTAGAAGTGTAGGCACTAGGAAAGCAAAAAAAATAAGTGGTTCAAAGAAGCTACCTTTTGGGAGTTGACCTGAGGGTAAGAAGAAGCGGAAGGGGAGACTTATCGTTTGCATCATAAGCCCCTCTATACTATTTTACTTCTTGTATACATATTTTCTTTCATATAAAGAAATAGTTAATCTAACTACATCTCTACAAGCAAGTGGTTATGCTGATTCATTCCTTCAACAAACACTGAGTTCTACTCTGAGCTAGGCACAGAGGATAGAGAGAGGAAACTGACATTTCTGCTGTCAAGGAGATCAGTCTGGGGCAGAAGAAGGATATGAAAACCACTGATGACAATTCAATATCATAAATGCTGTGAGAGAAGAGTGTGCCGGATATCACGCACACAGTCTGGGCCATAGATGAGGTACACTAAGACCATGTGGGGTGTTAGGGAGGGATTGCTGAAACGTCACTCCCTTTTTGAGTTGTAACCTAAAGGAAAACTAGAAAACTGAGAGTATACCAGGTGAAGAGGGATGCAGGGAAATGGGGGAAGGACATTCTAGGGCAAATAGGAAAAAGCAGGGTAGACAGATTGACACATGATAGACAGCATGGTGCGTCTGGAAAACTGGAAGTTTCTCAGGATTGCTAGAGCAAATAGTGCATGAGGTGGTAATGGCAGGAATGAAATGGCAAGATAGGAAGGGATGAGAAACAAGGGCCATGCTCAGAACTCTGCATAGTCTCATGAAGGCAATGGGAAGCCACTCAAGAATTACACTGGCAGGGAGGGAGACTTCATCAGATTTGCCCTTTGGGGAAGATTACTCTGGAAACAACGTGGAGGATGGATGTAAAGGGGGTAAATGAGGCAGGAAGCCATTGTGGAGGCTATTACAGTGGGCCTAATGAAACAAAAACCGAGACTCATGGTCTCAGCAGGAGACAAATGGCCAAAAGGTACATGAAAAGGTGCTCACCATCACTAATTATCAGGGAAATACAAATCAAAACCACAATGAGATATCACCTTACACTTGTTAGAATGGCTGTTATCAAAAACACAAGAGACAACTACTGTTGACTTGAATGTGGAGAAAAGGGAACACTTGTGTACTGTTGGTGAATATAAACTGGTGCAGCCACTATGGAAAACAGTATGGAGGTTCCATAAAAAAACTAAAAATAGAACTAGCATATTATCCAGCATTCCTACTTCTGGGTATATATCCAGAGGAAACGAAAATAGGATATCAAAGAGATATACACACTCCCTTATTCATTGAAGCATTATTTACAAAAGCCAAGAGATGGAAACAATCTAAGTGTCCCAAGCGTATATCAATGGAGGAATGGATAAAGAATATGTGGTACACACACACACACACACACACTGGAATATTATTCATCCGTGAGAGAGAAGGAAATTCTGCCATTTGTGACAAAATGGACAGACCTTGAGGGCATTATGGTAAGTGAAATAAGCCAGACAGAAAGACAAATACTGAATGGTATCACTTATATGCAGAATCTAAAAATTAAAAGAAAAAGTCCCCAACTCATAGAAACAGAGAGTAGAAAAATGGTTGCCAGAGGCTGAGGGGCGGGAGAAATAGGGAGAGGTTGGGAAAGGGCAAAATCTGTCAGCTATA